TAGTTTTTTACAAGTATGTTATTTATGTTAGCCTGTAGTGGATTTATTATTTTTAATTTATAAACATATATTTAAAATTTTCTGTTTTAATTTCTTTTTTTTTTTTAAAGGATGACCAGTGAGGGGATCTCAACCCTTGGCCTGGTGTTGTTAGCACCACGCTCAGCCAGTGAGCAAACCGGCCATCCCTATATAGGATCCGAACCCGTGGCCTTGGTGTTATCAGCACCGCACTCTACCGAGTGAGCCACGGGCCGGCCTTTAATTTCTGATAAGTTAAAAACAAAAGCTTGTTAGAGTCCTCAATAATTTTTAAGAGTGTAAAGGAGTCCTGAGACCAAAAAGTTTGGAAACCACTGTCTTGTAACACCTATTGCCTATGGTAGGAAGTGATTCACTAAATGCTTAAAGAATGTGTCTCAACACCAATATGAAGAGAAAGGTCTTACAGTGATTCTGAGTCAGGTGGAAAGTTGTAGCCACTGATGCTGTTCTTTCCCGGGTATCTCTGGGTATCTCTATGCTCTGGATGTTTCCTAACTCTGCCTTCTTATCAAAAGATTCCTGTCCTGAGTCCTGAGTCCCTAGTGAACAGACCACCTTATATAATAAACTAATTAAATTTAATAAAAGGTATGAGATTTAACTTGACCAGTATTTATTAGGCACATACTAGACGTGCTAGGCATTGTGCTGGAAATGAGGGTATAATGATTGTAGAGACTTGGACCCTGCCCTCCAGGAGATCACAGTCTAATAAGGTATCTGGCTGGATAGAAAAATATCTCTACAAGGAGATAAGAAAATAATGTAATTATACATTTGAAGAAGACCTTGAATACCTTAATATAAAACAGTGAGTCCAGTGGGGATTTTTCATTAGTGAAAGAGAAAGGGTGGGTCAGATGCCCCTCTTTGGAGTCCCTAAAGCCACACCAATTGTGGGAATTCACTAATGCCCATCTTATCTTCTTTCAGGCCAATGAACTTCCAGCAGAACTAACCAAAAATGAACGTATATTGCATCTCCTTCGAAGTAAAGAAAGACACAGGAAGAGCTAACTTAGTTCCATATTTGAAGAAAAGATAGAAACCTTAACCACATTGTCCAAAGAAAAATTGCTTTTCAAACAATGTTGGAAACTCGTTTAAGCAAAAAAATGCTCAGAATGCCCACCCGGTGGGTCCTTTACAAAGAAGAGCTGTGCATTGTGCACTGAGTCACAAATGGAATGGCTCAGGGACCCTTTCCCCTTATTTACTGTGGGCTTCTCACACTGCCCTGTAACTGAGCTCCAGGGGGCCTAAGATATTCATGGGTCCCACAGAAATTCATCTTCAACTATGCTAACTTGGGTCTCTCAGTTAAACTCTAAGATAAATAGGCTTTTTAGTACTAAGCAAGCAGAAAGCTTTGTTCCCTTAAAAGACTGAAAGGCTGACCTGCAATGAATAGATGCACTTTTGCTTTTGTGTTAGATGTAGATATGCTAAAATATATAGATCCATCATATTTTACATATATATGTGTATCATTCCAGTGTAAAATGTTTTCTTCTACCCAAGGATCATAGCCGTGTTTATTAAAAATCAATGATGTTAAACATGTTATTAAAAAGCCACTTCTGACTTTCCACTGTGTGCTATGCAAAGATGGACTGTTGAACTATAGAAAAGACATATTTTGCATTTGTTAGTTGATCCTCATCTTATTCCTGACATGTAAAAATCATTTTTACTTAGAGTCAACATTGTAGGTGTGTGAGGACATGTGAGAAATGCCCTCACCAGTCCAATGCCAAAGGATGGACACAGAGACACTAGATACAGTGAAGTGAGACTTTAATAAGGACCTTGCCAGTCTGGGTGTCTGTGAATGGGACAGGCACATGGAAAAGGACCATAGCAAGCAGTTTATTCCCTAGTACACAAGTCCCTCCCCCCACTTTCTCATTGGCTGGATATGACGGGATGCATAATCTCCCTGTACAATGCCTAAAATTTATTACCCCCCTGCAAGGAATTCCTTTGTCTTGGGGCTCAGGACGAGCCAACAAAAAAAGCCCACTTAAGCCCTGTGAAGGGAGAAACACTAGGGAATGAAGAAAACAATGGGGGCTAATAACTAATTACCATCTCAAGGAGAGCTCTGTCTGTTCAGAGACCCTCCAGGAATGGGCTGGACCAGACAGACAACTTTGGGGCTAGGCCTGAATCAGTTAAAACACCCTCAGATAAGTCATTTCTGAAAATGAATCACTTACATTATTTTCTTACAGGACACCAGTGGCAAATTTGGGAATTCAGAAAATTACAAACCACAAGAAACTTAGGCTTATCTCTTTGAGCTTTTATTTTGGTTCTGTTGTTGGGAATCTGTTTCCCTAGCCATAAGTAAATAGACCAGATATGCTGTGGAATTTTGAGTTTCTAACACTGCATTGCTTAATACGATGATTTTGAGGTCCTTGGATAAAATGTGATGTACGCAAGTACAATATGTTGCTATTACTATTGCAGGAGTATAAGTAATAAAAGACTGTTATTAGTATTTATTTAATAAGTGTTCATCTATGCATGTTCTTGGGTTGATTGATTCCAAGAAAGAAACCTGAATTTTATTGAATTATTCCTTTAAGAGGGATCAAAATTTATATTCAATGCACTTTATAATCGATGGTGTCTAAATGCCTGTCAGTGCCTAACTGCAACACACAAAAATTAAACCTTCTTTCTGTAATTCGCCATAATAAACACTGATGATATTTCTGTTATTTAAATGTTTTTAGTTTTCTTGTTCATGTTCTGCTCTAGTTTCCAGCCAATGTTCTATGTAAAGTCATGTTAAAATGAAAGGAAATGTAATCCTAAAAGAATTTTTGTGTAACCAACCTGCAGTGGTACTAAAAACATTATCTTTAAGTCAGTAAATGAAAGAATAGAATTTTTGAAATTAGAAGGTATTCTCTTAAAGGCTGGCCAGTTAGCTCACTTGGTTAGAACACAGTACTGATAACACCAAGGTCAAGGGTTTGGATCCCCATACCAGCCAGCTGTAAAAAAAAAAAAAAAGGTATCCTCCTAAAATTTGTTTTGATTAATGCAAGAAAAATTCACTTATTTTGATCAATGTCACAAGCAAAATGAGTAAGGAGCAACCCACAGCCCCCAGAGATGCCTACAGCCTGACTAGCTATGTAAAAAGCCTGCAATCTAATTTCAGGATAAAAGATTAGAAAGCTCTATGTTGCTAAAACACCCAGATATAAACATTTTGGTGGCTAAAAAGCCGTGCCGGGTCAGCTCGTGGCTCACTTGGGAGAGTGTGGTGCTGAGAACACCAAGGCCCCGGGTTCGGATCCTATATAGGGATGGTCGGTTCGCTCATTGGTTGAGCGTGGTGCTGACAACACCGAGTCAAGGGTTAAGATCCCCTTACCGGTCATCTTTTAAAAATAAATAAATAAAAAGCCGTGCCAATTTTCTTATTGACATTCTTTTATTCAGCAAAGCTATACAAATACACATTTCCTCCCACTGGAATTTCAAAAAGCTATATTTATTCGGAAGAGGAAAATAATGAGGACATAAATGTTTAATAAGCATAAGGGCCCTTATGCCAAAAATAGCCCTTATGCCAAAAATAGCCCTTATGCCAAAAATAATTGCTCATCACTAATATAAAAGAAAACAGTATTATGGGTACTGATAAAGTTTCAAAAGACAAAACGGGATGAATCACAAACTTAATGTTTTTCATTAAAACATGTCATTGGCCTATTAGGTCATTTTAAGTGAATAATATTCTTGAGCGATATTAGGGTGTAGTGCTCTTAATCCTGCTCCGACTACACCAATTGTGGAGCCACGGCTAGGCTAATGTCTTTAATCCTGTTAACATTGCCAGTTGTAGCGCTCTTTATCCTGTTTGTGACACCAATTGTAAAGCTACTCGACCACACCAGTTGTCAGGCTCTTTTACCTGCTGGTAAGATTGCCGACTGGGCCAACCTCCAAGCCAGGGCTGGGTCTTGAGCTCCCAGACCCCTCAAGCCCATTCACAGACTGGGTCACAAACCCTTCATATGCCAGGCTGGGTCACCAGACCCCACATATGCCAGACTGGGTCACCAGACCCCACATATGCCAGACTGGGTCACCAGACCCCTTCACGCAAGTCTATGAGCTAGGTAACAGGCCAAAAGGTCCTTGTAAGCCAGAGGTTGGAAAGCATGGCTGAGCTGGGCAGACGCCTGCCTGCCTGCTTCACTAGAACTCCTCTCTACCTCTCTCCCTCTCTCTCAAGAACACAAGAATAGCAACAAAACTAAAAATATACATTGGCACACATGCATACTAACTCCACACACACACAAAATTTGCTTACAAAGGATGTGCTAAAACCACACCCAACTGGACCCAAGGCCAGGGCCCAGACCAAACTATTCTATTTTCCCAACATAGGGCCACAAAAAGGAAACCGGTGGCTTTAACAATGTTTAGTGGAGGCCTTCCTAGTATAGGTAAGAGGGGTCTAGCTTAGAAGGATCACATTATCCATAGCAGGGAAGATAATTAATTACTTACCAAAGACAATGAAAGGTCTGTTATTTTAAAAATTGCGTTTTAGTTTGCACATATGTAATGTAGATGATTTTATTTTATGTTTATCTAATTCACAATTCAGTTAGTTTTGCTTCCTAAGACTTAATACTAGCAATTCCTATGCAAATTGTATGCTTAATTGAACTACAAAAGTTTTTCATTACATTCATTTGTTTGATGACACATTCCATGTTATAATTCAAAATAAAGTTAATATACTACCCAATTTTCCTGTGCTGCTTTTTCGTTTGTTTTTAATCAGAAGTTATTTCTATCAACTCTGTTGATAAAAATATTGATATTTGGATCCTGTATAGATCTTTAAGCTTTATTTTACTAATGGACCTATGATTTAATTATTGCTGCTGTGAAGAATGTTGGTAATGATCCCAGAAGGTTTTCATTCAAACATAAATTCTTGGTATCGATACTGAAGACACTGAAAATATAAAACTCCTAATTTCTATGTTTACTGTCTATAATGCTCCTGGCTCTTCAGTCCTTTGGAATAGCTTTCTCTTGAGAAGTAGCTGGCGGTTTTGCAGAACTTCTCGTGTAGGAAACATATTTGCAGTAGTAACACCAGAAATCTGGAGAAGACGACTTCATAGCCATTCTAGCTTCTGTCTGCTCCATCCATTCTTTGAAGCCACAAGAAAGCTATGTCTCATCAATAACCTACAATGAGATACCCAGGCAGAGGAAAAGAGCATCCCCCAAAACCAGGCTGTTTGGAACCAGAGATGACTGCATTTTGGGGTGGACCTGCAGATTATAGAGGTAAGAAGCTGAGTTCCTAATTTTATAACCAATGTGGTTTTGATGCTGGAACTGGCTGAGTTTCACAGGTAGCTGTGATAAGTAATAATAACAATAAAAGGAGGAGTCTGTAGATAAGTAATAATAACAATAAAAACAGCCACTAACGTTTGTTAACGGATTGTTAAGTGCTAAATACTGTACATAGATAATCTCAATGTTTATATGCATTTTCTCATTTAACCCTGACAACAATCCTACAGGACAGGTATTGTTATTCCCACCTTAAAGCTGAGGAAAACTGGCTTTGAGAGAAAATGATCACACCATGTTCTGATTTTCCATATCATTGTCCCCATCAGCTCATGCCCTTGTACTTACTTGTTCTTCAAAATATGGAAAACAAAAACAAAAAAACAAGTTATACGGGCCGGCCTGTGGCTCACTCAGGAGAGTGTGGTGCTGGTTACACCAAGGCCCTGAGTTCGGATCCCATATAGGGATGGCCAGTTAGCTCACTTGGGAGAGCGTGGTGCTGACAACACCAAGTCAAGGGTTAAGATCCCCTTACCGGTCATCTTAAGAAAAAAAAAAAAAAAAAAAAGTTATACTATGGGCAAAATTAGGATAATTAATTTCACATTCCTCTAGCTGAGAGCCCAGCCTGCCTCTTTACTTTGCTTAACCTGCTGAACACAGGCCAGCCTGTGGCTCACTCGGGAGAGTGCGGTGTTGATAACACCAAGGCCACGGGTTCGGATCCCTTAAAAAAAAAACAAAAAAAACCTGCTGAACACAATGAGGTAAACCAGTAACAGATATTTTCTCTAGGATCTTTGATAACATTCAGCCCTCAGTTACATAATTTATGTATTAGTGAGTCTGGAAAGTTTTAGAATATTTTCCTGGTGCCCTTACCCTTATTTTTAGCAGTACTTTAAGATCATTTCAAAATATGAATGAAGTTATGTTTTAACAATTAAAGGAAGTTAGTTCAGTTCAGTTCCTTCATGCCCCATCAGCTTTATCTCTGTCAGCAGAAAGAATTACTTACCCTGCCTTTGGTTCTTGCCTCCCTCGCTAGGCTTTAAACCTCTAATCTTTAATGAGGAAATGCTGTTATTTTTCCTACTTCCCACAGTTAAGGCTTTAAGAACAATCTTAGAAAGAAAGCCTTCAGTTTACAGCAACTGGACTGTCTATGTTAGACCAAAACCCACCCTACGCAGAGGAAACTGCTGCATCATGTGACTGAGTCCTCCCAGGAAGGGAATGCCACTCCGAAACC